AATGTGCCAGGCCTCACTTTTGTGCACAGGTAAGTTGTTTGGCCTTACTTGCTTGGTTTGGTGAGTGGACTCTGCTTTCATTCATTTTCTCCATGCTCTGGGCATTCATTAGGTGGTGAATGACTCCTTTGTGGATTGAGTCGCACATCATTTCTGTTCAAGATTACACTTGGATGCTTCATGTGACACCTCCAGGCAGGATACAGAAGTACCAGAAATCAGTCAAGGTTGGCCCTCTCGATTCAACATTGCAAATTGCCAGAAAACAACTATGCTTTGAACTCCGCACCACAATGGCCGTCCCAAAAACAAATAAAAATAAATCAATCAAGAGTCAATCAGGATTAAACCCAGTGATCCGAATAGCATAAGTCAATGGACTGCAATAAGACACTGATGAAGACAGTCAGAACGGATTGGCAAACCAAGGGGCTGATGATCCATAGCTGGAACATCAATGGCTTGGGAAACGTCCTGATCGAGGAAGACAAACTTCGAGACATCCGGTTGGGCCTCACAGAACGAAGAAATTGAAACCAGACATCATCCTATTTCAAGAAACCCACCTATCCAAACTCACAAACCACGCCAGAATCAAGAGGACAGTGGAAAAGAGTTCGGGCGGCTGTCCTTTCACACTAGGGTCCAACAAAGAGGGCCTGACCAAACGAGGTACAGCAATCCTTCTTTTTTTTTTTTTTACATAAAACAGAACCTTATGGCTCTGGCTCCTTTTCCATTCTGGGGAGCATCAGTCCAGTTCCTTTTTTTTTTTTTTTTCAGTTCCTCAGATTCGATCCCGGTGTCCACTGGGTAGTAGTCGGGCGTTGTAACCTACTGGGCTGGCTCCTTTTCCATTCTGGGGAGCATCAGTCCAGTTCCTATTTCACCGGCAAGTCGAAGGAAATACATGAAAGACTCACACACGCTCTTCCCCTTTACTGTAGGAGAGTTCAAGGGTCAGCATTGATCACTTCTCGCCGGAAGGATGTACCAGCCCTCACCCCTGTCTAAGTTAACCTATTTTCTTACGTTTGGTTGCTTCTACCTGTGGAATTGCTTGGATGGGTCACGTCTCACCTGTTCCTCTCAGCTCTTTGACTGCCTGATTCTCATTAGGTACTGGAACTGCAGACTTGTCCTTCCCCTTGGGGTTTACATGGCCGTATACCCTCTCCTTTCTAGTTTCTGCTGTCTATGATTGCTTATAAGTTATAGAGCTTTTTTTTTTTTTTTTTTTTTTTTTTAAACCACCACTACCTTTCCCAGGCAAACTCAATGTCCATCTAGTAGCCTACTCCTGAAAACACGGGGCTCGGGGCAGGGTTGGAGGCCAACGAAAAAAAAAGAAAAAAAAAGAAGAAAAAAAAAGAAAGAAAACGAAGAGTCCCCACTCCAGGGATGTCGGGAAAGGCCCTCACGAGGGTGGAAGTTGTACCAGTGCTTGGACGAATGTATCTGGCTACTATGTCGGAAAAGGGATTGCAGGTCGTTTTTCTTTTCTTTTTGTTTTGAAATCCTTGTAGTGCCCTGCCAGCCAGGCAGGGCGTGTTTCACGGGTGGCATGTAACTGTCTCACTGCTGTAGC